CAACCAACAGTCTGTTGCACTCTGCATTAAATTGATTTGTGCAATTGGCGATGTGCACAAGTCTGTATGCAGTCCATCTAGCCTCTCTCTCCAGAAAAATATGGAGAGGAGGTAGATTTAGAAGGATCTCCATGGCCGCTGATAGCCAGACAAGCCTGTCTCTTAAACCAGAGAGCTTCGCTTGGGCCGTTTTCTGTAAAGCTTTCGGCGACCAGGCAATTGCACCATAAGTGATCATTGGTCTAACAATCATTACATAAATCCAGTGGATTTGTTTGGGATCTAAACCATAAATTTTACCACAAATTCTTCGACCTGTCCATACAGTTTGGCTTTGTGTAAAACTTTTTCCAAATGAGCATTCCAGGTGAGTCTTTCATCAAGGATAATGCCAAGATATTTCACCTCCGTTCCCAATGGAATGACCTCACCATTGAGGGAAAGTGGCGTTAGATCGTCCAATTTTCTCCTCTTGTTGAAGGGGATTAACACAGTTTTGCTGGGGTTGACAGACATCTGCTCCCTCAGGCATCAACTGTGAACAACGTCCAACGCGCTTTGGAGGATATTACAAGCTACCCTTCCCGACGTGGACCTTGCCAGGATGGCAAGGTCATCTGCATAAGCTTGATGATCAACTTTCCTTGTGTTGAGGGCATCAAACAGACTATCCATCAGGAGCGACCACAGAAGGGGAGATATTACCTCACCTTGAAGCCAGCCCCTAATGACCGAGGTTGTCAAACTTATAAATTCGAAAGTGGAGACTCGTTCAGGGTTATGTAAGTTTGACAACCCCGGTAATTTCTATAACCTCCAGTGATCAATTTTCATAGTTGGTACCCCTGTTCATTCAATTACCTCCCCATCCAGCTTAACCACAAACTCCCTATATAACCACATTATTAGATTTCGAATGTATTAGTTAGTTTTTTTACTTGATAATAGGATAAAACCTCAAACTGGTTGTAAAAATAAAATTTCCTGGTGAAAATTACACAAAAGTGTTTTTATTCATGTCATTAAAGTGAATGGTACCTCGTTTTATATTTTTTAGAATTTTCGATATGAACTTGGAAACACCGTGAAATTTTATTTCCTTCCTCCTCCTGTATTCTTGTTGTTCTACTTGTGCGTACGACATTGTCATTGTTTTGAGGTTAATTTGTTGGTTATTTCCGAAAATAGAAAGCATTTCATATTATAAAACAAATACTTTATATCTAAAAGAGCAATTCGTTCAGGCTAGTCTCAAATTACCTACACTGTAGGTTAATGGACTGACTCCTATCAGAAAACAACAACTTTTCTGGATTATACCACGAAGGACGTTGAATTATATTTGACAGATGTCAGTGCAGAATTCTTCACTGAAGTTATTCCTGCATATGTTGTTGGCGATATAACTGCCGGAATCGATTTTCAATTAGTGGAACACACTTGCAGACCGGTTTCGGGCTGTTTGACCACTCATCAGTGCAAGGTAGTGTCTAACATCAACATAAGGTCGATGATTTACGATAATTGAAAATCGAATTCCTTCAGAGTATCATTTCTCGAACTAGGCTGAAGCGAACGACAAACAAGTTTGTCATCACCACATCTGCCTGTGAACGAGGTAACCAACCGCATATCCGAAATTTGCCCAATTCCTCGTTTAAGGAAGAAAACTTCACGAATTGAGTAGGCATACTTGGACACTGGCTTCAAATCAAATTATCTTAAAGAATAATTCGTTCAGGCCAGTCTCAAATTACCTACACTGTAGGTTAGTGGACTGACACCTATCAGAAAATAACTGCTCTCCTGGCTAATACCACGTGGTATTAGTCAGGGAAGATTGTAACATGAGATTGTGTGGTGGTTGGAATGAAATAATGAACTTCACATTATAAAAGGTTAGCGGATGGTCATATAATCCTCCCTATTGGTAAATTCAACCAAACTGAATAGGATTCTATGTTCCAGAACATTCCTCAGCATTCGAGACGTAGATCTGGGATTTTCTCAAACGTTCCAGACTATCCTCGAACATTTTAGAATGTTCCAGGATATTTTGGAGTGTCGTAATATGATCTCGATTATTCTTGAATACCCTGGAATGTTCTTGAAATTTCCAGAAGGCAAAAATTCTAGCTTTTATATCTTCAAAAACACGCCTTTAGGTATTACCAGGAACATTTTTCATGGCCAAAGTAATGTGACACTAGGACAGAAAAAAAAATGTTGGCATCCCTTCGAAGTCATGTTTCGTTGATGGCTTTTTGAGATTTCTGTCAAGCCTGTTGTTTATTTGAAACCAATTAAAGTTTTCATACCTTTCATAGTGGTTTGATCAAATCAAATATATGTTCATTAAATTGCCACTCGGTGAAACGCGTATTGAATAAAATCACGTTTCATTCTCAATGGTTCTAAAAAACTATTATAATCGCGTTAATGTTTTAGATTTCTAAATATCATTCCCATATGAATCGATTACGTGTTCAAACGTACTAGTACACGTGATCTGTGTACAGTGTACATGTGCGATTGCTAACAAAAGGTCATGTTTAGGTAATCATTATGAATAATCATAGATCATAGTGGCAAAAAGTAGAAATGGTTTCCTATTTCCTTTCTAATTATAATGTCCAATATAATCAACAATTATCGAATGACAAGAAAGGATCATGAAAGTGAAACGCGCATTCATAGATTTGATGAAAGTCTGAACTTGCGAAATGATCAACAGGTACCTACTAATTAAATCAATAATTTGAAATCGGCCGAGACTTGATGGAAACGTATTCAAGAAACACTTTGTTGTGATATTTTCACCAAACATTTTTACAAAATCGAACACATATTTCGCTATACAATAGCTTTTTCAGTTTGTTCGAGTATGGCAACTGTTCATAGATTGAAAATTCAACTATTTGGAAGCGTTTTTTAAAGTTTTCTGAATATTTGTAGCAAACCCGTATTCCTAAGTTATGTATTTATTATGAATACTTTCTTAAGACAAGTAGATGTGTGTTGAACTTCTTCTAATAATGAAATACTAAGATAGATTAGGTTAGGTGGGTCTATTCAAGCCTCCACCGCAACCCGCAAGAGTTCATTGTGGCTCACACCCATTCACACTCGACCAAATAAACCCAGCTTCATAACGAAGCCGATTAGTTTGTATGGTGAGTGGCCTTACAGGTCAGATGGTAAGAGTACGGCTATGCCGAACTGTAAAAACCTGATTCGGTCCGCAGCAAGGCAGGCACAAAGTATGTGCTCTGCTGTTTTATCATTTTCCAAACAGAGGTGACATACACTGTCTTCGGACAGTCCGAGTCTCTGCATATGATGGTTCAAATGACAGTGACCTGTAAGAAGGCCTGTTAAGCATCGTAGTTCATCCCTACAGTAGTCCAACAACTGTTTGGTATTAAGGTTCGAAGAGTGAATAAACACCTTGGACTGAGCCAGTCCTGTAAGATACTGTCAGAAGTCCATAAATCTTTCTGCCATCCAGGTGTTTAATCTTTGTTTGACAAAGCCTAAAGCGATGCCAATGACAGCTTCTGGTCCGATGAAGATGTTTGCCGCACCCTCCTCTGCAAGGTAGTCAGCGGCCTCATTACCTTCCAGGCCAGTATGGCCAGGAATCCAGACCAGAGACAATCTGTTAAGTCTTCCTATTGGGGAGAGTCGTTTTTGGCAATTTGCTATCAATTTAGACGTTGCTCGGTAGGAGTCAAGAGTTTCCAACGCCGCTTGACTGTCCGAGAATATTTTTATTGACTTGTGTATAAGGTTGGATTCCTCCAATCTCTCGGCACACAAGGTGAATTCCCGCTTGAAATACAGTCGCATAGGTTGCTAGGCAGGTTGATATCTCTGTCTTGGGTCTGCGACTGAAAACACCTGCACCAGAACCGGAAGATGTTTTTGGTCCATCTGTGAAACAACAAGTATCTGCTCTCGATATTTCCTTCTTCCGGGGGATCCAGTCATCTCTACTCGGGAACAGTACTTTATAAGGCAGTTCGTAGTTGACAGTTGCAGGCATAAAGCTAGATGTAATTTCCAGAATGCTGTGACTTCCAGTGTCAACCAACAGTCTGTTGCACTCTGCATTAAATTGATTTGTACAATTGGCAATGTGCACAAGTCTACATGCAGTCCATCCAGCCACTCCCTTCAGAAATATGTGGAGCGACCACAGAAGGGGAAATAGTATCCCACCTTGAGGGCCTCGCCTTGGAAAGTCGTAGTAAGATATACTATAACCAGTAGTGAAAGTATTTTTTCTCTAGCAAAATAATTACCATCTAATATGATAATCTTACCTGGAAATCATCATCACTCGTTTGATGAAATCAAAGTCGATCATGATTATGTAATACAGGCAACCAGGAGAAATATAATAATGAAAATTTCGAAATAATTATTCAACATTCAACTGTATATTTATAAGGTTACATGGAGACACAATGAAGATGAAGGATGAATTCATAATATCTCGTTAATAATCTGATTCTGTCAATCGGATAAAAATCTGTTCTATATTCAAAACGAACATTATTTATGGATCCGAATCATCTGAATGTGAGTCTTTCATAATAGCAGTATTACACAATTTATTATCATTTGACTTCACAAATCATTGGTTAATGAAAGACAGAACTATCCTCATAACGTAATTATCTAATAAAATGTGACAGTATAATTATGCTTCCCTACATATTAGGATGAGTTTCGAAATCATAATCACCATCCATAAAACTGGCACCCGAATGAAAAATTGAATAAATTGTAGCCCGAGCATATTTCACATAGTTAGAATTGGTTGGCTAATGTTTGATTGATATGAGCGTAATCGTGAATTTCAGCGATGCTTCCTATTCCTCATGCGCAAACGATATTTTCCATTACCAATTCCAGGTATAATAACTGAACATTTGCATACTTTTTTCATTTCCAATATTGATTGGAGTTTATAAGTATTATTTTTCAAATTGCAGATGAGGATTGGAATGGAGACCCAGCAGAATCCACTATCTATCTTATGCACCAACCGGCGCAAGTAGATATTGAACGTTCCAGTAGGGAAAAATCTCCAGATCCAGTTCAGAGGTTCTCCAGATACGCTGATCCCCCCTCTTCAAAATACGAAGAACACAATTACAGGCCAGGCAAAAACATCAGAGATGAAACACATAAATATTTAGAAAAACCAATAGCGAAATTCTCTGATAAAAAATATCTGGAGAGACAGAAAAGCTTAGAAAAGGGGAAGCAGCTGAAGAGCTACGATAGACACGGAAGTTACGACGAATTAGAAAGAGAGAGATATTCGAACACTCTGGAGAAGAAGGAAAAGTTCAATGGCAATAAGTATTATTATCAAGGCAGCGTGGGCGACGATCGCGATAATAAGTACTATGATGACGAGAGATATCCTGATGATTCCAGGAGAGACAGGGATGGATATTCTGTCAGGAAAGGTGATAGGGATAAGCCTGTGAAATATTTCGAAGACGACGGATTTGATGAAAATATAAGGTAGTTTTTTGCAACACCACTTTGAATATTTCAAATATATCCAAAAATGTAGTACTTTCCATGTTAACTTGCTTTCGAAGTTGTTTGACTAGAATCTATCACACCCATAATCAATCAATTTATTCAATTTGTTGGAAAATGGAACTGTTATAGATTCAATTCACAACTATTTGGAAGGGTTTTTTGTGTGTAATTCAATGATCCTAATAATTTATATGAATACATATTAATTATTTTTAAAAATTGTTCATGCATGTTCTGGAAGACAGAGAAGGCGTCTAGGTTCGACAAAATTGTCATAAAAATGATAAAAAGTATTTTGACAAATATTACCAAAATGAAAAATGTTTTAGAGTTAGATAGTCATAACAGTGAAATGATTGAAAAGATGATTTGAGCAAAAAAGATGATAAACTCCGAAGAAAATGTATCCGGTGTAAATCAGAAGGTGATGTACAAAACTTCAAATTCAATCTGTCACAACCATAATGAAAGAGAAGCTAAACATATTTCTAATGAGTCGAATAATCATTTTATCAGTATAGGAAATCAAAAATCAAACATAATTTCAGTCACCGATCGAGACATGACAAAATTTATGAAACATTATCAAAGTTTGAATATCTACCAACAAATGAAAAACTAGAAGAAATTTTATACAATTTAGATTTCAAGAAAGCAGCAGGCTTCTAAGAAATATCTAGAAAAATTCTTAAAATAGTCAAATCTGATATCTGTTTAAATCTGTTTGAAATCTGTTTTTCCGTTAATATACCACCAGTATTGAACTTTTTAGTGAAACTCTCATTTGAAACTGAAAGTTTCCAAGATAAAATTATGATTACAAAAATTTCAACCACATTCAACAAGATTTGAATAACGAATGGCCCATATCAATCCTACCAGCAATTCCAAAAATTTTGAAAATGGAAATTTGATGCAAAACCTAATCAGCAGTTTCTTAAAAAATCATAAATTTATTAGGTCAGTATGGCTTTCGAAAATTCATAGGCACAGTTAATTACCACATTCTTTTGAGACATCTTTACGATATAAGAATACGGCTGTTGGTTGACACAGTCACAGCATTCTGGAAATGACCACTGACTTTATGCCTCCAACTATCAACTACGAACTGCCTATGAAGTACTGTTCCCGAGTAGAGAGGACTGGATCCTCCGGGAGAAGGAAATATTAAAAACAGATAGTTGTTGGTCTGCCTAGAAACCTATGCGACTGTATTTCAAGCGGAAATTTACACTATTGAATTGTGTGCGGAGATTGGAAGAATAAAACCTCATGCACAAGTCAATAAAAATATTCTCGGACAGTCAAGTGGCGTTAAAAGCTCTTGGCTCCTACCGAGCAACGTCTACATTGGTACCAAAATGCCAAAAACGACTCTCCTCGATAGGAAGACTCAACAGATTGTCTCTGGTCTGGATTCCTGGCCATACTGGCCTAGAAGGCAATTAGGCTGCTGGCTCCTTTACAAAGGAGGGTGCTGCAAGCAGCTTCATCGGACCAGAACCTGTCATCGGCATCGTTTTAGGCTTTGCCAAACAAAGATTGAACACCTGGATGGCAAGAAGATTTATGGACTTCTGGCAGATTCTTCCAGAAATGGCTCACTCTAAGGCGTTTATTCACTCTTCGAAGCTTGATACCAAACAGTTGTTGGACTACAGTTGGGACGAATCACGATGTCTAACAGGCCTTCTTACAGGTCACTGTCATTTGAATCATTATATGCAGAGACTCGGACTGTCTGAAGACAGTGTGTGTCGCCTCTGTTTGGAACATGATGCAACAGCAGAGCACATACTCTCTATCTGCCCCGCTGGGAACCGAACCAGGTTTTAGAGTTTGGCAGAGCCGTACTCTTATCATCTGACCTGAAAGACTACTCACCATACAAACTAATCGGCTTCTTTGAGGTCCTGGGTTTATTTGGTAGAGTGTAAATAGTTGTGAGCCACAATATACCCTTGCGGATTGCGGAGGAGGGTCGAATAGACCCACTCACTTTGGACCTAACCTTTCGAATAAAGGCCACAACATATTATATGAAAATTGAGAAGCAAAACTCCCTATGTTTTTATACCACCTGTATTTGTATCTAAAGTTACTACAATTTTCAAACTTTCATTGTAGTTTATTGTATTCGTGTAGTGTAGTGTAATAACGTTAGTTGCAAATATATACAAAGTGGTATAAAACATAGGAAGTTTCATTTCCCAATTTTCTTGATGATCTCCTATCACGTGGTAACGGCTACGGGTGTAATAAGAGTTCCTTTGAAATAATTTCCTATGGTGTTTCACAAGGTTCTATGCTGAGACCTATATTTCTGCTATACATTATATTTCAGCATATATAGGATCGATTGAATTATATGTAGATGAAATAATGGTTGCCTTAAACTGAAAGGGTTATATTTTTAGGAGTTAGTATAGAGTTACCCCTTTTGAAATTTATTGCTTATTTCTTTTCTTTGGAAGATCTCCACATTTTTTTGTATCAAGATGGAGTAGTATTGAGCCAAAAACTTTCTTTCCCAAAAAGTAGTTGCCTCTTTCCAAAACAACAACTAGTTAGGTGTATATAATGGCAAACAAAAAATATGATTATAGTCGAAAAGTTGATTTGTTGGAACAACATTGAGAAATTAACAAATACAATTTCTTCACTCACATGCTTTTTAGTTTATTCAATATTACATTACTCAATATCAATATGAGGTTCAGCTTCCATAACAATTTTGAAACAAAATCTTTACTTTACATCTGTCGTTTTCAGAACCAACGTCAATTTTATGTAAACCCAGAAATTTATTGAATATTGAAAGACTACACAAATCACAAATCTGCTGTTCCATTCATTTCGTTATGATAAAAAAATATTCTGAAATTAAAAATCATGGCCAGTGGCCGTAAGTGCCAAATGACGCAAATTAATTTTTTATGTTAAAAAAAGTTATATTTTCTAACACTTTCTTTTATTAGAACTCTTTTATGATACTCAATTATTATTTTGTCATTTTCAAAACTCATCAATGCAGTTTGCTTCCTGTATAAAGACAGGTTGTTTTTTTTTTAAATAATAAAGTTATTATCCTGACCCTGTCAATTTCAACACCTTTATTTACTTTAGACCCATTATTCGTTCTCACCCTGTTGCGTCCTGTACGATGTGTCTGTTTGGCGGTTGTTTATGATCACTTGAAATCGTTGGATAAGATCAACTAATATATCGATACTGTTTGATAGACTTTCATCACACAAACGTACGATAGAAAAATCAACATCACATATAGAGAAATTGTGGGGCACGTAGGATTCCCTATGTGATTTCCAAATAAACGCTTATGATTTTTCCATTTTTTTCCCACTATATAATCGATCACTATCACAACAAATATTCTATGGTATCTGCAGGTCACTCTGTGACTTTGGAGCTTCGTAAATGAAACCTATACTGTTTTGCTAAAATTGCAGGCCATCTTTATTGGTTTATAACGGAAGTATTTCTTAGATTCCCAACTTGTAATAACGAGTATATCTTTGATTGAATTAACTTCATTCGTAATGGTATCCAAAAAGTTAATCGTGAATATTATGTTTCTAGGTATCGAAGTAAATCAACAGATTTCGATAGAGAACAGCCCCAGCACTTCTCCTACGATGAAGATGTATTTTTCGACGACAAGCATCGCCAGTTCAAAGAATTCCCGGTACCGAAGGTTAGGCAACGGTACGTTCCCGAAGAAGCAATCAAATATTATCAAGACAGTTCTAGAAGTAGCGACAGGGGCCCGAAAAGTCCAACTAGATGCAATCCAGACGATCCTCGATACTACACCGAACCAGTAATAGATCCCAAATCAATTCCAAGACCGACATCACACAAAGAAAATTCTGGCAAACTCCGTAGTAAAAGCGAAAGGGAAGAGAGGTCTGCGAGGTCCCAAGAATACTTCGAGGAGAATACTCTGAACAGAAGAAATGCTCAATATCGACAAGCGTCGCCAGCTTCGGATGAAGTTAAGGCTCCGAGAGATCGTTTCAAAGACGCCAAGGAAAAGTTTCTGCTGATGGAAAGAGAACGGTTGGAGAATGAGAGAAGGGGGCCTGAACCTCCCATATCTCCGGTGCAGCTGAAGGAGAAACAACCTTATGGAAAGAAATACGAAAATGGGGGATACGGAAAAGAAACTTCTAGAAACAGTTATGATGAACGGTAAAAATTGTGCTCAATAATTTATTTACAGAATTGTCTATTTCTTTAACTGAATCAAATATAAAATTTCACGGCCGGGGATAACTATTTTCGGGTTTTTTGGCTGTGGTCTGTAAGTTTCATGCCTGTTACTATGGTAGACATCATCAAAGAAGATGAGATAACGGTCATAGTGCTCGAGTAGTTGTCAACGCAGAGACTACAATGCCCGCAATATCATCATTGGTGGGTGTGGTTTCGTTTCTCTTTATTGGCTCAAATGACCTTATTTGTGTATAATCAAGGACAGGTAGCCATATTTTACTAACGTTCATTGCCTCTTCCTTTCTATTGAAGTCTTCCTTATGTAATGCTGAGTTTTATCGAGTATTGGTGTATTTTCGAATGAGATGATGTGAGGGCCGTCTTTGAGAGCCGAAGGCAACAATTTCTTTTTTGTTCAGAGAGACGGGCACCTATACTTCTTTTCGTGGTTCCAATGTAGATTGACCCATAGCTACAAGAGATACGGTATACCCCAGGTGTTGCTAAAGGCTCTCTGGAATCGTTAGCTGACCATATACTTTCTCTGATAGTTTTCGTTGGCCTCAATATTGGCTTCACATCGTGTTTCTCTAACGAGGTATGTTAAAAAAATAACAGATATTTTCAAAATTAACAAGTTTGGAGAATCCGATTTCCATTTTTTATTACGAGTATGTTTTTTTTTGGTACCTTGGGAGCTGTCTGACTTGTCCATTTAGTCCAAGTCTCCAGAAAACACTGCAGCCTCTTGGGTTCATTGCATTTATTCTCCCATCTTCTCATGATAATCATTCCACCAGTCTTGTTCCCTGTACTAGTTTGTACAGGTTCCGTGTTGGATGTTCGTCATATTCTTCTGGACGTAATTTCGTACGTCCATATATTGCCTGCCTCCTGTGATTCAGTGCCTCACATTCGCATAAGATGTGTACAGCTGTTTCTATTCCTTCGTTGCATAATCTGCAGCTGAGGTCTCCGTTGTACAGCCTCATTTTATTCAGGTATCCTCTGAGCGGACAATGACCGGTTAGTAACCCTGTAATTATTCTGAGCCGATCCCTACTATATTGAAGTAGTTCTTCGGTTTTTTTTTGGACAGTTCCCTAATGAAGGTTTTACTGTGTTTGTTGCCAGGTACTTTTGTCCAGTACTCTGTGTGCTTCTTATTGGTCCATGTCCTAATCTGGTTCCGTACCAATGATTTTGGTACCCCTAGAGCTGGTTCTCTAGCGTCTAGCGCATTCATCAGCTTTATCATTACCTGTGATTCCTGAATGCCTTGGCACCCAGTACAAAGTTAATTTGTTCCTGTTTGCAAGTTCATTCAGTTCTTCATGGCATTCCTAGACCAGTTTTGATGTCACCTTCGGGTTTGTCAGAGGAGCCCCTAGTGCGCTCTTGCTGTCTGTTAAAATATTGATCCACTCATTTCTTTGAGGTCTCAATTTAATAAGCCTTGCACACTGCAAGATAGCATACACTTCCGCCTGAAAGACGAATGTGTATAGTTCTAGCGGATGGCTGTAGTTTAAATTTTTATTCGCTCGGTATATTCCAGTATGTTAGTATACATGCCCCTGAATTATGACACAATTTTCAACCGTATTCATTGTTTACTTTGTCTGTGGCAGCCGCTATGGTGAGGCGTATTTTTAGGATTTCCACGATTTTCGCTTGTTGGAACAAACAAACAAACAATTTGTATCTATTGTGTTTGAAATGTCAATAGAGGTCTATATTGAGTCTGTTATTGGTGAAATTAAATGAAAAAAAAAATACGTGTTTGCCGATGGTGCACATCAATATAAAATTTAAACTGAGACTGATATGAATAATTTGACTCATTCCGTATGATTTCAAATTTGAATACCAAATTCAGTTTGGAAATAATTCTCTATTCAGATCATGTTGTTGGGGTCCATTAGTCGTTGGACCCCTGGATGTATATCCGGGTAATCTGCAATGGTTTTTGGGTAAGCCAGTTCAAATTCCATTCCTCTCAGTCGTATGGGGGTGTGAGAGAACTGATGGTCATACATTCAGTTTGTATGCTTATACATATATCTGTTTAAATGCTGTGAGAAAAATCATCTCATACATATGTTGAAGTTACAACGTAGAGGAGAACATTTATTCAATGCATTGATAACTACGTTGAAGTTTTCAGTTTCAACTAATAAATAATTACGAGTAGCTTGAATTTTGTGGTCGGATCGACCACACAATTGCAGTCGCGTTCCAGCGAACCCAAGCCGCCCATAAGAAATACTGTGCTACACGTACACGGGCGTTCACAAAAGTCAAAACGGACGTCTGCAGTCACTTGCTGCTGATCTCCGCTGAGATGTCATCGCGGCATCCGCCGTACACTAACCACAAACTTGCAGTCGTACCCAACCGCGTACACCGTGGTGTACTTTTTCTCATATTGGTCTCACAGCATTCAATTTTTGATGTCAGTTGCCTCAACTGCGATTGTGGTTTATATGACTGCAAGTCGACCACAAAAATGTGGTTGGGTCAACCGCGAAGTGCAGTCAACGTGACCACAATGTTGTGGTTTCCTCGACTGCAAATATGTGGTCCGCGTACGGCCGGACTTAGAAAAGGTATTGAGAACACCGAAACTAATTTAAATATTTTTTGTGTTCACTATAAAAAATTCTAATAATTACATGAATTATTTTAATTCGTTCATACATTTGAACTGCTGTCTCACTAAAAAAAAGTCCTTTTGTCTTTAGCATCATCTGAAACAGTTCTCTTGCAGCTTGAAACCGTCTAACTTTCCAAGTTTTCATGAAACACTGCATTTTTTACTATGTTTGCCGAACATTTCCACAATTAAGGACGTAAGGTCACTTAATGAAAAGTTCTCGAGAATGTGCAGTGGTATATTTTCCTTTTACTTTTTATATCAACTCATTTTCTGATCTGCCTCATATGAGGTTGATAATCCGTGTCTGGAACACTTTCAATTCTTTAGTTTCCCCTACCTTAACACTTCGAGGCAGGTTGTTATTGTCCATCAGTTCGTTGAGTTATTTATTCACACCTTTCCCAGACCTATCTCGATGCCACTTTTGGATTCATCAATGCCCTGACTGTGACTTAACTGGCGATAGGAATACTGATTCTCTCATTTTGTTGATTTTTCTTGCATTTCAACCGCCAAGTTTGTGTCGAAATTGAAGTTGGGTCTGTGAATATGTTCGATGTTCATTCCTCAACATATTTCTATTCCTTGTGATCCACTCTTGCTTCTCTTATTACTATAAGATAAAAAATAGTAGTTTCGATAGTGTCCTCAATGCTGCTGGTGGCATGTTTCTCATTGCTCGCGGTGCACCCTGTCAGTTTGTTCCATCTTCGAACTGGAAACGTATATATTATGGCTTTGACTACGGTTCTGTATGATCAAAATATCAATAGTTTCAATTCCCACGGCTCATCCAGAGTGCACCATTTAAATGTTAGTTCTATGTCATTCTAGGATTTATTATAACTCCCAAATATTTAGAGCTCTTTTCCATTTTTTTTCACTTCGAAAGTACAGATATCCAAATACCTTTGTACTGGTCAAGGTAGACGGGCTTAGATTTAGCCCTTCCTTTTTAGAAGCCTCATTATGTTATGACAGTTGACTAAGTTGTTTACATAATTTACTACTTTTTGGCTCTTCTGGTTTTATAACACTGTAATGGACAAAACCTTCTAGTGTTGCAATGGACAGAACCGTTTTCATCACTCCTAACATATTTGGGTGTGTTTTTGGCGAAATGATTTCGATTCCATCGATTTGGACTATTATTCAACCTCAAAGTAGGTAACTCCAAATCAAATTTTCCAGCCTCTTATACTTTATATCGTTTTTTTTTTCCAATTTGCATCTTGAATAATACAAAATGTCTTGTCATGTCATGATGTTTCGGAATTTCAGAGTGAAAAATTGTAGTATCGTAAGAATGCATAATTATCTGTATACTTCACAATGTTATACCTATAGTTCTTCGTGGTTTTCATCATCACATTCCTCTTATTTTTTGTTCAGGTTGGTGTTTTTGTTCTGCACTTTCTGGATTCTGTTTACTTCTTGCTTTGTCTGCTCCATCAATGAGGCTTCTTTATTCAAAGCAAGTTCTATTGGGCCAGTTTTCATAGCCACAACGAATCTATCTTGTACCTTATACATTAGCTTATCACCAGAATCACATTGCGACGGTGTATTTTTAATCCTCAAATACGAATTGTTCACAGACTTCTGTTCTTATCGTAGCAAATTAAACTTTATTCTTCTGCGATACACAAACAGCCTTGGTTTATAATGTGTCCCTAATAACTGCATTAACGTATCAAAATCTTTGCTTTTATGCTTATCTGGATTGCATGATCTCCAGAACCTGATATACCTCCTCACTCAACAATGTGGATAGAACTGCAACTTTCCTTTCCCCCTCCACCATATTAGCGACTAAATACTGCTCCAACCGTTCCTCAAATACCTCGAAGTCATCCTCTTGTTTAAAAACTGCCAAAGAAAACATATTGCCCGTATTTACAACCGTTATTACTTGTTGTTTTGCTGGACTGGACATCTTCGATAAAATGCTGTTAAGTTTCCACTCGTCGCCAAATTATTTGTAATACAAACAATGAACGATGAATACTTTAATTAAAACTAACCCACCACTACATTACAAGAACACACAACATACCGGGAAGATAACCTACAAGAAGGGATGGCGTGCTGACCTAATCGAATATACTATTTTACAAAGAAGTAGAACTATGGTTATAACATTGGGGAGTATACAGACAATTATGCATTCTTACGATACTACATATACATATATCAAATTAAATGCCTTCGAAAAAAATATAATTTACATAATTGAACTATCTGTGCTCTATTGCAACGTTAATAATGATGTTTTTTATCTCAGTTATTATGACGATCGGAGAGGACATTTGGAAGAAGTGCGACCGAAACCGGCCCCGAGACACCTCCCTGAGGAACACCGTTACAGAGAGAGAAATGGCGAGCGCGGCATGAGAGAGCGAGAAAGAGACGAGCCTCTCGATAGATACCGTCATACCGATAAGTTCGATCCGAAGAGGAGGTCAATGTTTTCACTGATAGAAGAGGAGCACCGAAAAAACTCGAATGAAATTGCTAAAGAACTAAAACGAAGATCCTATATGGATGGCAACACCTACGAGGAGGATATGGACAGATTCAACAGAGACAGATACTATCAAGATATGCCCGAATCCGATAGATTTTTAGATAATTATTCCAAGCCGAGCATAGAACCAGATAAAATAAGCGAAATTAAGCACGATCAAAAGTTCGTGAAGAACCAGAAGGTTGTTAAGAACTCAGCTGGTTATAGGCACAGTTACGCAGAGCCCAAGATGAGGATGGAGAAGAGTGGGAAAAAAAACTTTTCCGAAATGCTGCATAGAACTAACAGTTCTGTAGGTAATAATGGTAGGGTCGGTATAGCAAGTGTCCACCCATATTAGATGATAGTTGTTATATATAGATATCTTGTCCAATGGATTGAATGATGCGGTTTTAGGTTCTTTAATAATTTTGTGATATTTTTCTAGAAAGAGGTACGTAGAAAAATATTTTCAGAATACAGATACTCTCACGTACGAAGTGTAAATTGGATATATTTGGAATTGTTGAAATGATCTATATTATGTGTCTCAGACTGAGCATGAACATCCATGCCATTCTTAGAAGAAATAGTGGTTGAAAACATTGAACTATGTGATAGAAGATTTATTTTCGTACTTGACCTCTGAAAAAATAGAATGGTGGTAGTATTTTTTCAATTTCACTACTGGAGAATGTGAGTTTACAATTAGTTACGATAATATTTATATTGAACGTCTTGATAGAAATATTAACCCAAGAGCTAGTGACAAAAAAAACTGACAATGAAAAAATTTCAATCGAAATCATTATTTCAAAATGATCTTATTTGATAAAAAATCAAATTGAATATTATAAATAAATATAGACTACTTACAATTAATATTAAAAAAATTACTTATTGTGGTGAAAGTACGTGAAAACGAATCATATGATTTTTAATTTAATTATTTTTAATTAAAAAAAACATCTAATAATACAAATCTCAGAAACCCACGTTAGTTATAAAGGTATGAATATGAAATTGAGACAAGATTTAAAGAAAAATAATTCAAACTAAGGTTGTTAATCGTAAGATTCTCCAATAGAAAATTTGAATAATAATTGTTTTTTTCGGACTAGTCTCTCTAAGAAACGTAAAATTTTCAAAACTGGACATACAAATTTCATTGTAGAATCATAACGGAGGAAATAATCACACCTACGTGTTGAATCAAAACTATTGAAAATATTTACTTCACACCAGAACAAAAGTTGCACACCAAGTTAGCATCATCAGAAATAGTCTATAATTGATTAGAGTTTGTATGTACATATGGAAGAACCATCATCTTACATAATGGGGGTTATTAAGTGTTACTTCCTTATTAAATTTTATTTCCTAATTCATATATTATTGACAGCCTGGTATAATACCTATTATTTCCATGTTTTCTATCTGCAATTATTATGTAAGAGAGTGAATAACGGGCCTTTGTCACTATTCATGAACCTCATTTCAGTTATTTTCATTTATGAACATCAAAAAAGTCCTGGACATGTCTAACTAATTCTGTAGCCGAATAGCTGAAAAATGTTCCATATATCGAGTTTTTATATCCCGTTAAGTTTGACCAACATTCGTATCATCCTGAACTGCCTTTTGGGTTGCCAAACACTTGCTGAAATGTATAGGTAGTTTTAAAAACCACTTTCATGTTTGCTTTTTCGAAATTTCGAACCAATCCATTAGCCTATTTTGTTTTATGTAGAAGAACTATAAATTACTCCAAATATTCGTTTACTATAAGCAACTTATCGGGTATGGAAAACCATTTCAGTTATTTTCTTGATAACTTATCTTTCAAGATAAACTTTCGTTCTGATTTGAGAAAAGTGTTTTCAATAGATTGATTCACGCCAGAAGTGTTAATTTAATCTATTAAATTTAATGAAAAAAAACTTTTTGAAATCAATCGTTCAAACTGCCTCTGATGCAATGATCAATCAACATAGTCCGATACAAAGTGGAATAATATTATCAGAAGTTGAACATTTTAGTTTTTATATTACCCAAGATTTCAAAACTGCCTTTAATCTTCCTGCTGTAGTAGTAGTATATACTTGTTTCCTAATTAGACTTAACCTTCCTTCTTTATATATAAAATAATTGCTCATGTTTTTAATATATTTTCATACAATTGAAAAAATCAAATTATATGTTAAGTAAATATTCACAAGCATTAACATTAAAACGTATTTTTATCCAAATGTTTTGTATTATATTAAAAGTGACCCTTATATTCTTATAGTATATTTTTTGAAATATTTATTTTTTTCTGATGTGCCTATGTATTTGTTAGATTCATTTCTATTGTAAATTTGTGGTGAAATTTAGTTTTACTCTGAGAAGATTTGATCTATAAGTTTTACTGTACGTTATTTTTTACATAATTTTAACAATATTGTATTGTTTTTTTTTCTGTTGTTTTCTGATATTTTATATCAATAAAATCTATTCTTTCAGTTCCAGTTATTCACAAAACCATTGAGTACTTTCCACAAAATAGACAATGAAAATAAATGAATAACTAATGACAGGCTCGGCTCTAGAGCTTTTGGTGCCCCATTTTGATGGTGTGGCCCATTTTGATGGCGTGCTCCATTTTGATGGCGTGCCCCATTCCGATTTTTTCTGAATGTATCATGTTTTCATAACAGAAATCAAAAAATATACTGAAACGTAATGAAAACGAAATATTTTATCGAAAACTCAACAATTTGACATTTTAGAGTTGATAATTCAGCCCAAAATATAGTACTCCATTAAAAAACTAAAGTCAACGCTAACGAAACGCTAACTAGTTTAAAAATAATAAAATGAATAATTCCGTCTTCCATTATTCAATGGGCTTGTTTCATGCTATGGAAAATGATATTGGTTTGCTCATAGACTGATAGAGTTGGGGGTATATTATATTTACTTATCAAGCCTAATCGGTCCCAAAATCTCTTTATATTTGCAGAAAAAAGAATAATTCGAAAAGCAAGAATTTGAATTGGCCGCGTGTCTATTGACCAATAAAATTGATCGTGTCTAGAACGGAGTTGCCATGGTTTTTAATATCCAATCACAGATCTGATGATACAATTTGACAGACGCCATTTTTGTTGTTATTGTTGTCAACTCGGTGTGAATACAATTTAATTTGATGACAACTTCAAGTATTCTCCACCGAAAGTATTATCTGGAGTTAATCCTGTTACTGAAAGTATGGAACAAAATTAATTGAATTTTGTTGCTTTTCTTGGATCAGTTCGAGTACAATGAATTCTGTCTATACTTGACCTCATTCAACCTTTTTCTCAAGTTTTGGAAGATTCAACAGATTACCCAAGCGAGCCTATAACGCTTGAATTTAGTAGCTATATTAGAAAGAGGTATGTATGTAGGAATCGTTTTTTTTTATAATAAATTGCAGTTGTACAGATTGAGGATTGTGGAATAAATTGAATATTTGAGATGATTCTTCAATACAGTTTGCTTTATTTTTTGAATTTCATAACTGTATATTATTAAATAATGCATAAAATCATAGTTTAGGTAAATATTTTGTGATCTATCGACTTTGTTTACTGATTTTAGATATAGAACTTATTTCCAAACATGGTTTTTCGTGAACATTCTATTCCATGTGGAGAATTTTTCATTAATTGAAACGTTAACGGGTTCATATACACTTCCATAATTAAATTGATAATTATAGGCTTCGTAAATTTAACGATTTGGCAATGTTGATTATTTCTATTGTTCCTATTGGTCAATCGAACAAGAAGCGGGAATAGGGCCGTGACGTTACCACCTTACCACATTCGATTTTTAATAATTATTTACGGGAAAACTATGGTACTTAGAGAGATGAAACAAAGTGCACTGTTTTTCAATTTAAAATTTCTATCAAGTGAACTATAAACCAAAAATCATGAAACAACCCATTATCCATTGTCAGGTTGTTGTGCCCTAGATAGTTGCCCTGGTTGCCATATGTTTCGGAACCAGCATCGCTAATGGTTTAGCTCTATCAGGTGCAACTTGGCACTGAGAAAGAAAAGCCAGTGAGGATAGAAATCTGACTTTTTGCTTACACAACATGTTCACGCGTTTGCAGAGCTTAGAAATTGTCTATCCTTGAACACTTTGAGAGAGGAAGAATCTCTTTAAAAAGTATTTTGAAATACAAAGTCCTAGACCTCAGCTTCTTCTATAGTGAAACTCGTGCAGAGTTTTTGAAATTGGGTTGAGTTCATCAGACATGACTATTTTTGTCTGTAGATCGGGTTGTAATGGTGATTTCGAAATCTTTCACGAATTGTTTTATGAAACGAAACATTTATTAGGCAAATTTGAAAATATTGTTCATGCAGGGGATTTCAATATAGACCTGAACAAGGAGAATACAACTTCTCAGTTATGAAAAGAAGTATTGAAATATTATGCTCTTTCAAATAACATACTGAAGTTAGTCTGAGTTTCACGAAGGGTGGCTCTAAACACGGTAAGCTGTATCGCTAGCAACATCCACAACAATCTTATCTATGATGTTACGGATGTTGTTTTCATTAACATTTGTATCTCTAGTCATTCAGGATAATATAATATTAATATCGAATGTAAACACGACATTGAATATTCACGAATCTCTAGACCTGTTACCAGAAAATGACGGATGAGATTCTGGCATAATTTGTAGAAATAGACTTTCTGTAATTCAAAGAAACATTTGTAAATAACATATGTTTTTGTAAATTACTCAACTAAACCTTACCAACATTCAAAATATTTTAGTTTGCGAGTTATTGAGAGTCAATAATAAAACGCCAATAATATATTATGGCCATTTCAGATAATCGAGGAGAAATTCACGCAATATAAGTTGTATAAGATTGCACAAAAAATAAAGTTGCTCATGAGAAGCTCAAAAATCACTATCGATAATAACTACGACAAAAAAGACTCTGCAGCAAACGTATATCAAATTCAGTAAACAAAAGTAGAGTGAACGAAATTTCGAAAGTAATGAAGCAAGGATAGGTAACATGGTAACAATGACCCTGTGACAGAGAATTATCAGCAGTCGAGTCTAGTGTTTGATTTCCTCGGTGACAGAATTTTACGCTTTTGATTTAGGTATCTTCGATTCTCTCCGTCATATCCTCCTTGAACATCATTTTCATTTTTTTCACAAATTGTCAGTGGGCATACTTGAAGACTGGCTACAAATGAAATCATCTAAAAGAACAATTCGATTAGGCCAGTCTAAACTCCCTAAACTGAAGGTTAGTCTGTTTAAAAAAATCTGTTTAAAATCTGTTTTCCCCCATACGAACGACAACTCTCAGAAGTTGAGAAACTTGTGCGAGCTAAAGACTAACGAGATCTTACCTTTTAACGTGTGATTCCTAACAAGGTTGCAGAATCATCCCAGCTTCAACCAGATAAATTCTCTCGAGAAAAGTATCTGGTCGAGGCGGGAATCGAACCCACGGCCTTCCGATCGTGAGTCGGGCGCACTACCACCGCGGCCAATTCCACAACACGATTAATGGACTGACACCTATCAGAAAACAACTGCTCCCCTGGCTAATACCAGCGCGGAGGGCGCTGGATTATATCCGACAGGTGTCAGTGCAGGATTTTTCACTGAAGTTATTCCTGCATATTATGTTGGCGATACAACTGCCACAATAGATTTTCAATTATTGGACCACACTTGCAGATTGGTTTCGGGCTATTTGGCCACTCGTCAGTG